GCAAATATATGAGGTTAGGGACACCTCACTAGATAAATGCACAAAGAAAATAACATAAATAAATAAACATAGTGGTAGATAAAATTTTAAAGAGACAAAGTTCTCCTCCCCCTTACCTTGGAATGTAGACTTATAAAAAAAAAGTAGTTGTGTAAAAATGTTATTCTCTTCCAGCTCTCTTTCTCTTTTTCTCTCTTCTCTTCCTTTCTCTCTTTTCTTACTTCACTCTTTTCTACTCCCATCTCTGGTATCTCCAAAATTTACTGGAGGTGAAGGCCTATTTATAGTATGGAATATGTAATGATTAGATAGTTGCCATGTAATGATAAATTGATTTCAATTTGCTCAATTTTACTACTCTTTTGCTCATTTGGTTACGTAGAGATAAGTAAGTATCTACAGATAAGCTTTTCTGAGTCAGTTTCTATCCGTGCATTTATTGCACCAGATTTTTTTTTTGAAATCATTAGAATTTCTGGAAAAAAGAATTTTTTTTTTGTAATATGCGTATGGATTTATGTATTTATATGTATTTATATATAATAATCCAAATATTTATTCTAAAATTAAATAAATAAATATATATATATATATATATATAATTTCTATTGATTTATAATTAGAGTATTATTCTAAAATAACAGAATTTTTGAATATAATTAAATATTGTTTATTTCTATTTTAATTTCTGAAAATTTTGACAATAAAAATTTTAATGTATTAAAATTATAAAATATCATACTTATTTTCTATTTGATCTTAAAATATAATATATAAAAAATTGATTACTATTTTAAGAATAATATAAAAATATTATATTTGAATTTTAGGATGTTACAATTCTCCCCTACTTAAAAAAACTTCCTCCTCGAAATTTTTATTGCTTAAAATAGATAAGGATAATTTTTCCTAATTTTTTCTTCTAGTTCCCAAGTAGCGTCTCCAGTTTCTTCATTCCAAATGACCTTTACCAACGAAATCTGTTTGCCTCCCAACTGTTTGATCCTCCTGTCTGCGATTTGTACAGGCATTGCATCATATGTAAGGTTATCCTTTAATTGTACTGTATTAGACATTATTACATGAGAAGGGTCAGAAATATATTTTCTTAACTGAGACACATGAAAGATGTAACGACCCGCCGTGACCGTCACACTACGGAACAACACTGCACACTGCTCGAAAATATACTAAAATAGTATAATAAATATTTACAACACAAGTTGTTAATCAAGCAACAAACAACTAGTTAAATACAAGAAAATGTGCTACTAAAGTAGCCTACAAAAAATTATCCATCTTCAGGCACCTCCTGTGGCCTCTAGTAGCTACCTCCCAACCTATCCCTGCCCTGCTCCCATACCACGTATGATCATCGCAGTCCAATAAACAACTCATAATAATTTAATATGCAACATATATACTATATAATCCTCTCCGCATTCGACAATTGAGACAAACAACATATATATATATATATATATATATATATATATATACACCATACATCTTAACATTGAATTCAACTTACAACATAACAACACTATCGTCATCCTCAACAAGGTCAACATGCAACACAATCACAACTTAACAACACATCAATAAATATACAACTCATATCAACAACAAATCAACTCATCAACAACTTATGCATTGTCACGCATTTCGACTCGGAGATCCTACAACATGGAAAGTAGTCTAAGTGGCTAGGCCCTACCAAACCGACAACACAACACATTTGGATATCAATCCACAACACGATAATGGTTTCTCAGACTTTGCCACTTAAACAAGGAAGTATAGTTCTCGGTTAGGAACTAAGTTCCCGACTTTGTACTTTACTCAAATTGGCCACTTGTAATCGATATAGGTCGACCTGACCCCTATACCATGGTCTCTTTGTAATCAGTATAGCTCGACCTTGCCCATACACCGTGGTCGCTTTATAATCGGTATAGCTCGACCTTGCCCCTATACCGTGGTCACTTTATAATTGGTATAGCTCGACCTTGCGCCTATACCGTGGCCGCTTTATAATCGGTATAGCTCGACCTTGCCCCTATACCGTGGCCGCTTTATAATCGGTATAGCCCGACCTTGCCCCTATACCGTGGTCGCTTTATACACGTGTGCCTCAGCCTTGCCCACACACGGGATCAACTAAGTCCTAGAGGAGAACAACACAACGACCACTGCAAGGGACAACTTCCCAAGGAGGGTTTTTCAACAAATTGGGCTCTCAGAGCACCAAAACTATCTCAATCCACACAATGAGATGAGAAACTTCGAAAACATCTCCCCTAGTCCTAGTGATCAACAACTTATCATCACATATTAATCAGCTTACAAATCAACAACATAGATCAGCTCAACAACTTACACAACACACAACTTTTCAACTCATCATCTCAATCAACTTTCAACTTGAACAACACAATCAACTCACAACTTTAACAACACATTTTATCAGCACAACAACTCATCAACACTGTTCAACAACACATTTTAACCATACAATATTTCATTTCAACTTTAAAAAAAAATCAACTCAACAACTTATTAGCTCAACTCATAATTTACAACTCAATTATTCCTAAGATAATATCTTTTCAACACATGGCACAACATACAACTTTTTAACATACAACTCTCCTCTAACAACTTGACAACACAATCTATTTATAACATCTCATCATATTTCACCATATAAACATGTCTACACATATAACAACCTTATCAACTTAATTAATTCCAACTAGCTTCAACAATATCATAGATCAACACATAACTTGTAAATAACTTCACAACTTAACTACAACATGCATCTCATTTACATCTCATTTTCATCATGAAAGCATCACCAACAACATCATTACTAAATATTTAATCATATATTAGCAATACACAATATTTTGATCACATAACACAATTCATATTACATATTTACAACCCATATATCATGCCAACTTAAATACCCAAAAAATACTAATCAATCTAAGCACCCAAATAAGTTCTCAACTCACATACAACTAACAACTTTATAATCTAACTTTCCTTACCTGAAGATTGGCTCAAAATAGCCAATAACTGAGAAGAAGTAGAATTTCCCTTCGAAGCTCAACCCGGAACTTCAATCCACCTAAAGTAAGCTTTCTAATCCAGAGATCTTGTCTCTAAAACTTCTCTCTAAAAACTCACATTCTCCTCATTGCCCACAACCCCTATTTATAGACATTCTGGAGTGGCCAGAACAGCCTGTACCAAATCCGGAATGGCCCATTCTGCACCCCTTCACTAAGTACAAAATTCACATGCAGAATGGCCCGTTCTGAAATCAGAACGGCCCATTCTAGTACTCATCCAGAATGGTCCGTTTTGGGTTTTGGAACAGCCCGTTCTCCCTCCAAAACGGCCCGTTCTCAACTACATTTTTTTAGGACAATTTAGTAGTTTGGAACGGCCCGTTCCAGTTTGGGAACGGCCCATTCTGGACTACTAAATCAGCTATATTGGCATTTTTTTTTTGAAAATTTACTACGTTACAATACCCCCCAACAAATAAGAATTTTCGTCCCCGAAAATAGACTTACTTGGAAATAAAGAAGGATACTGCTCTCTACATAGTTGCTCAATCTCCCAAGTAGTCTCACCAGTAGTTGCATCCCACAAGATCTTCACCAATCTAGTGGACTTGCCACTCAACTCTTTCAACTTGTAATCAATCAAAACTACCGGTCTCTTTTCATAAGTCAGGTTCTCCTTGACCTAAATCTCACCCATCTCAATTACATGACTCGGGTCATGGACATACTTCCTTAACTGAGAAACATGAAACACATGCCCCTCCCAGAAAACTCCAAAGGCCTTTGCCTTCTATCAACTTATGATTTCTGCCTACTCTAGGAAAACCTCATCCTTTCTTGAATCAACTTCACCTCCTCAATAATTTATAAACTAACTCTAGCCCTACGACTACCGACTCACCATCTTTGATACCAATACAAAGGAGTCCTACACTTCTTACCATGCAATGCTTCAAATCCCAATACTAGCATGAAAGCTATTATTGTACATGAACTCCACCAGTAGTAGGACTTCCTCCCAACTCCCCAAGTGGTCTAGCACACAAACCCTCAACAAATCTTCCAAGGACTGAATCGTCCTCTCTGACTGACCATCCGATGTGGATGATAAGCAGAATCCAATCTCAATCTCGTACCTAAGACTTGGTGTAGACTCTGCCAAAAATCTAGAAGTGGACCTTGGATCCCTATCTGAAATAATACAAGAAGGCACCTCGTGCAACCGTACTATTTCCTTCACATACAACTATGTCAACTTCTCCAAGGACCACTTGATATTGATAGGAAAGAAAAGTGCACATCTCAAATTTACCCTTAAACCTCAATTCCCATCTTCACTCATCTCAAAGCCAACTGCTTTCTCTGTATCCAACAAATTAAGAACCTTCACAACTTCTGAATCTTACAACTACTTCATACCAACTTGCTACAAGAACTCACTAGCAATGGTAATCATGCCACAACCAATGTGGTCTTGAGCCAACTCCACATACAGATTCAAATATCTAAATTTCTCAACCAGCTCCAACTTCTTTACCATCAGACTAGACATGTGGATGGACTTCCTACTCCAAGCATCTACCACTACATTGGCCTTCCTAAGGTGATACATCAACTGAAATTCATAATCTTTTTAAAATATTCCATCTACTGTCTCTCATGTTCAACTCCTTCTGATCAAGCAAGTACTTCAACTCTTGTAATCACCAAAGACGTAAATCCTGCACTATGAAAATAGTGCATCCATACCTTTAAGGCAAAACAATTGCTGCCAACTCTAAGTCATGAGTAGAGTAATTCCTCTCATGATTCTTCAATTGCCTTAGAGCATATGCAACTACTCTCCTATTCTACATCAACACACACCCCAACCCTAGGTGAGAAACATCACAACACACCTCAAATGACTCATTAGGATTAGGCAACACCAACATAGGAGAAGTAGTCAATCTTTCTCTTCAACTCTTCCACCTGACACTTCAATTCAACCAACTTCGTTAGGGCCATCCTATAGGGAGCAACCAACACTGGTCCTACACTAGGGACCAGATCAATGCTAATCTTAATCTCCCTAATAGGAGGTAACCCAGACACTTCATCCAAAAACACCTTCGAGAATTCCCCCACAGCTCCTACCTATTGATCACCTTCTCAATTTTCAGACTCACAGTAGCAAGCAGGATACAACACTCTACTCCATCTCTTAAAATCACTTCAGCTTGGCTGGATGACTTCAACAATTCATCATCCCCCTTAGGGATAAACCAATTCCCTATTGGCACAATCTATAAGAATGTGATTGGCAGATAACCAATCCATGCCCAAGATTATGTCAATATCCACTAAAGGCAACAGATCAAGTGCATCTTATGCTTCCTATCACACATCTCCAAGGGAAAACCAACACATATCTTAGAGGCAACAACAAAAACAGAAGCAGGCGTAGACACAAGCAATCTTAACCCCAAATTGCATACAGGAAAACCTATCTTTTTAGCTCATGCATAAGAAATAAATAATAAATAAATGGGAGGTCCTGAGTCAAATAATATCATCTCATCCTTACCAGTAACTTTACCCTTCCCCTTCACTAGATCAGATGAAGTGGAGGCTTCAGCTCTAGTCAAGGAAAACACTCTCCCAGTTGCAGTAGATCTATCATCCCTCAGGGCACTCCTGGTCTGTCAAGCACCTGCAGGACAACTAGTCGACACGTGACCCATCTGGCCACACCTAAAGCACTTGCTCTCGGTATGAGGGCAATCACGGATGAAGTGAGGTCCACCGCATCTGTAACATCTGATAGTAGCAACTCCACTCTGACCCCCACTCCTAGCTGTGTCAATAGGTTTCCTTGTGGCAGGCCCCCCTTGCTGTGGTTGGGGCCTATCATAAGGTTTCCTCTGAGCACCACCACCACTCTTGGACCCAGCTAGCCCACCAACAGCCTTCGCCGGCTTGCTGACGCTCTCTAGCCGCTCCACAACCTTCGCCTTCTCTACCAAGGCTGGAAACTCTATGATGGCCATAGGCACCACCACTCTCCTCAAATCATACTTCAAGCCTTCAGCAAACTTCCTACACTTCCAAGCCTCAGAGATGGCTTGGGTGTAGAAGCGTGCCAAATGCTCGAATCTAATGGCGTACTCGGTTACTAACATTCCCCCCTGTTGTAATCTCATAAACTCTGCCTCCCGAGCATGCCTAACACTCTCTGGGAAGTACTTCTCGAGGAAGACCCTCTTGAAGCACACCCAGTCCACAACCACTCCACGGTCAATCATCATTTGACTAGTACCTCTCCACCAATACTCTGCCTCTCCGGTCAACATATACACTGCATAGGCAAGCTTCCGCTCCTCTGAACAACCTAAAACTGAGAATATTTTCTCCAACTCGCAAATCCAGTGATCAGCCACATCTGGATCTGCATCACCTCTAAACTGAGGAGGACTACACTTCTTGAACTCAGCCATATCCCTGCTTGCATGAGACCCAGTAGATCCTGTTGCACCAGCTGCAGCTCTCTCAGCATACACCCTAGCAAAATGTGCAGTCTGTTGCTGCATCGCCATGGCCATCATCTCCATGGCCCTGACTATCTGATCATACTGTGGCCTCACCATACTACAAAATTTAAACATCTTATTAGTAACATGATACCACCATATATCACCAAAACTAACACATATCAGAGATATGACACAACAGAAACCTAGAAGGATCACTCCCCACAGAGTATCCAAAAGACTCGACCGACTCTGATACCATAAAAGTGTAACGACCTGCCGTGGCCGTCACACTACGGAACAACACTACACACTGCTCGAAAATATACTAAAATAGTATAATAAATATTTACAACACAAGTTGCTAATCAAACAACAAACAACTAGTTAAATACAAGAAAATAAGCTACTAAAGTAGCCTACAAAAAATTATTCATCTTTAGGCACCTCCTGTGGCCTCTAGCAGCTACCTCCCAACCTATTCCTACCCTGCTCCCATACCACGTATGATCATCGCAGTTCAAACCACATGGAGACATGCAAGGGTAAGCTAGAGACAATAAACAACTCATAATAATTTAATATGCAACATATATACTATATAATCCTCTCCGCATTCGACACTTAAGACAAACAACATATATATATATACCATACATCTTAACATTCAATTTAACTTACAACATAACAACACTATCGTCCTCCTCAACAAGGTCAACATGCAACACAATCACAACTTAACAACACATCAATGAATATACAACTCATATCAACAACAAATCAACTCATCAACAACTTATGCGTCGTCACGCATTTCGACTCGGAGATCTCCTACAAATGGTAAGTAGTCTAAGTGGCTAGGTCCTACCAAACTGACAACACAACACATTTGGATATCAATCCCCAACACGATAATGGTTTCTCAGACTTTTCCACTTAAACAAGGAAGTATAGTACTCAGTTAGGAACTAAGTTCCCGACTTTGTACTTTACTCAAATTGGCCACTTGTAATCGATATAGGTCGACCTTGCCCCTATACCGTGGTCACTTTATAATTGGTATAGCTCGACCTTGCCCCTATACCGTGGTCACTTTATAATTGGTATAGCTCGACCTGGCGCCTATACCGTAGTCGCTTTATAATCGGTATAGCTCGACCTTGCCCCTATATCGTGGTCGCTTTATAATCAGTATAGCTCGACCTTGCCCCTATACCGTGGTCACTTTATACACGTGTGCCTCGACCTTGCCCACACACGGGATCAACTAAGTCCTAGAGGAGAACAACACAACGACCACTCCAAGGGACAACTTCCCAAGGAGGGTTTTTCAACAAATTGGGCTCTCAGAGCACCACAACTATCTCAATCCACGCAATGGGATGAACAACTTCGAAAACATCTCCCCTAGTCCTAGTGATCAACAACTTATCATCACAATTTAATCAGCTTACAAATCAACAACATAGATCAGCTCAACAACTTACACAACACATAATTTTTCAACTCATCATCTCAATCAACTTTCAACTTGAACAACACAATCAACTCACAACTTTAACAACACAGTTTATCAGCACAACAACTCATCAACACTGTTCAACAACACATTTTAACCACACAACATTTCATTTCAACTTTAAAAAAACAATCAACTCAACAGCTTATTAGCTTAACTCATAATTTACAACTCAATTATCTTTTCAACACATGGCACAACATACAACTTTTTAACATACAACTCTCCTCTAACAACTTGACAACACAGTCTATTTATAACATCTCATCATATTTCACCATATAAACATGTCTACACATATAACAACCTTATCAACTTAATTCCAACTAGCTTCAACAATATCATAGATGAACACATAACTTGTAAATAACTTCACAACTTAACTACAACATGCATCTCATTTACATCTCATTTTCATCATGAAAGCATCACCAACAACATCATTACTAAATATTTAATCATATATTAGCAACACACAATATTTTCATCACATAAGACAATTCATATTACATATTTACAACCCATATATCATGCCAACTTAAATACCCAAACAATACTAATCAATCTAAGCACCCAAATGAGTTCTCAACTCACATACAACTAACAACTTTATAATCTAGCTTCCCTTACCTGAAGATTGGCTCAAAATAGTCAATAAGTGAGAAGAAGTAGAATTCCCTTCCAAGCTCAACCCGGAACTTCAATCCACCTAAAGTAAGCTTTCTAATCCAGAGACCTTCTCTCTAAAACTTCTCTCTACAAACTCACATTCTCCTCACTACCCACAACCCCTATTTAAAGACATTCTGGAGTGGCCAGAAAGGCCTGTACCGAATCCGGAACGGCCCGTTCTGCACCCCTTCACCAAGTACAAAATTCATATGCAGAACGGCCCATTCTGAAATCAGAACGGCCCGTTCTGGTACTCATCCAGAACGGCCCGTTTTGCATTTTGGAATAGCTCGTTCTCCCTCAAAAATGGCCCGTTCTCAACTACATTTTTCAGGACAATTTAGTAGTTTGGAACGGCCCGTTCCAGTTTGGGAACGAACCGTTCTAGACTACTAAATCAGCCATATTGGCCTTTTTTTTTTTTGAAAATTTACTACGTTACAAAAGACATTATGGAGATTAAAAAGAAAAGGAGGTAGGAAAATTTGATAAGCAACAAGACCTATTTTTCTGAGGGTTTGATAAGGACCAATAAATCGAGGTGTGATTTTCTTTGATTTCATTACCCTACCAATTCCAGTTGTTGGTGTAACTTTCAAAAATACATGATCACCTTCCTGAAATTCAAGAGGCCGTCTTTTTTTTATCAGCATAACTTTTCTGTTTGCTTTGAGCTGCTCTCAATTTTTCCTGAATCATTTTGATTTTCTCCGTGGTTTGTTGTACCAACTCAGGACCCAAGATTAAATTCTCTCCTGTCTCATACCAACACAAAGGAGTTCTGCACCTTCTCCCATATAGAGCTTCATAGGGTGCCATACCTATGCTAGAATGAAAACTGTTGTTATACGTGAATTCAATTAAAGGCAAATATTGATCCCAACTACCCGAATCTTCTAGCACACAAGCTCTCAATAAATCTTCTAAGGATTGTATGGTCCTCTCTGATTGTCCATTTATTTGAGGATGATATGTAGAGCTAAGACGAAGCTTAGTTCCCAATGCTTGATGTAAACTTCCCCAAAATTTAGAAGTAAACCTAGGATCTCTGTCAGATATTATACTAGATGGTACACCATGCAATCGTACAATCTCCCTTATGTATAGTTAATTCAATTTTTTTAGCGAATACCTGATGTTGACGGGTAAGAAATGAGCAGATTTTGTTAGTCTATCCACAATAACCCATATGGAATCAAACTTATGTATTTTTCGTGGTAAACCAACTACAAAATCCATTGCTATACTGTCCCATTTCCATTCAGGTATATCTAAGGGTTGTAATAGTCCTGCTGGCTTTTGGTGTTCTATCTTGGCCTTTTGACAAATCAAACATGTAGCTACATATTGTGCTACCTCATTTTTCATTTTAGGCCACCAAAACATTCTCTTGAGATCCTGATACATTTTTGTTGCCCCAGGGTGTATACTCAACTTACTCTTATGTGCCTCTCCTAAAATCATTTTCTTAATTTCAGAATCATTAGGCACACATATCCTATCATTAAATCTCAAAACTCCCTTTTGATCTATATTAAACTTTTCACTACCCTTTTGTCCCAACAATATCTTTTTCTTCTGAATGAATTTATCAACTACTTGAGCCTCACCAATTTGTACATGTAAGTCACTAGTGATCTGAACTGCATACAATTGTATTCTATCCTGACTTACTATAGTTGATAAACTCATATCTCTAAATTTTTCTATCAAATTCATCTCATGAATCATTAATGAAGAGATATGTAAAGATTTTCTACTTAGTGCATCAGCCACAACATTGGCTTTCCCTGGATGGTAATGTAATTCAAAATCATAATCTTTCAAAAATTCCATCCACCTTCTTTGTCTCATATTCAGTTACTTTTGATCAAACAAATAATTTAAACTCTTATGATCACTAAAAACATCAAACTTACCACCATACACATAATGTCTCCATATCTTGAGTGCAAAAACAATGACAACTAGTTCTAGATCATGGGTTGGGTAATTCTTTTCATGAGCTCTCATTTGTCTTGAAGCATATGCTACTACCCTTATATCTTACATAAGAACACATCCTAATCCCATTTTTGAGACATCACAAAATATGACAAATTGTCCATTAGGATTGGGTAAGGCTAAGACTGGTGCAGTGGTTAACCTTTTCTTAAGCTCTTGAAAACTATTCTCAAATTTTTCTGTCCACTCAAAGGGCTGCCCTTTCTTAGTGAGCTGAGTTAAAGGCGTAGCTATTTTAGAAAATCCCTCCATGAATCTCCTATAATATCCTGCCAAACCCAAAAAATTGCGGATTTCTGTTACCGTCTTTGGAGGTTCCCATAGTAGGACTGCTTCTACTTTAGACGGATCTACAGACACTCCATCTTTAGAAATCACATGTCCTAAAAAATTAACCTCCTCTAACCAAATTTCACACTTAGAAAGTTTGGCATACAATTGTTTATCTTTTAGGATTTGGAGAACAGTTTGAAGGTGTACTTCATACTCTTCATGTGTCCGAGAATATATGAGAATATCATCTATAAAGACTACCACAAAATGGTCTAAATATGGACAAAAAATCCTATTCATATAATCCATAAACACTGCAGGTGCATTGGTTACCCCAAAAGGCATCACTTGATATTCATAATGACCATACCTTGTTCTAAATGCAGTTTTTTATATGTCTTCTGCTTTCACTTTAATTTGATGGAATCCTGATCTTAAATCTATTTTAGAAAACACAGTGGCTCCTCTCAATTGATCCAGCAAATCATCTATCCTAGGAAGAGGGTATTTATTCTTTATGGTAAACTTATTTAATTGCCGATAATCTACACACAGCCTAAAGATTCCATCTTTCTTTTTAACTAACAAAACAGGAGCCCCCCAAGGTGATACACTAGGGCGCATGAATTTTTTTTCAAGCAACTCTTCT